TCCATCTTTCTTTCTTTCTTTCCATCTTTCTTTCTTTCTTTCTTTCTTTCAAATCATATCTATGGCCTATTAGCTCCATGTACTAATGAGGGCAAGGTCATAAGGTCAAGTCCAGATGTATCAATTTCAAAGAGAATAGTTTTTCCACTGCTGTCGCTATACTCACCTAACTCGCCTAACTTGGACCAGCGCTCGCACAAATGCGAGCCTGGCATCCCCAGATGGGTGCCACACAAAGGAATGCACATGGGTGCAGCTCAAAATCCATGCTGGCCCAGAGCAGAGCTAGTGGCACGTCTCTTTTTGAATACTCTCCTCGTCTGTCGTTGGACAGGCTGTACCTGATAAGCTGCCGAAAGGCTCTGGGTCGACTCAGAGAGTCCTCTTCTGTGCTAATGAACGAAGTCTTCCCTGCTTCTGAAAGCTGAGGCCGTGTGGAAGAGCAAAGACCGTCCTTGATATCAGAGAGAGGTGATAACCTCAGGCCCAGGACCTGGGAGTTTGTGGCCGCGTCTGAGTTTCTGTTCCATCCTTGGAGACCTCAAGGCCACATTGAAATACAGGAGAGCAGCTGGCTGTTAGTTCTCAAAGTGAGTGGTTTGCCTACCTTTGAGGACCAACCAAAATGATGCCAAGAAGACAAAAGAAGCTAAATGTTTCTCGGTCACTAGTTACAACCAGGATTCTCCTTCCTTCAATAGCGCAGGGGCTTGTTGCTCACAAGTTAGACCTTGGCTGTGGAGATTAAACGTCATTTACTTCAACAAAATCCCCTTGTTTTATTGACAGGGACATTTCAGTCCAGGGCATTTAAGTGCCTGCCAAAGTCACATAAATAATGATGGACAGGTCTGGGGGTAGTTTTCTGAGCTCTGTTTATCAAAGGAAAGAGGCCCGAGTTCTTAAGAATAACCTAAACCTAGGAAGGCATGTGCAGTCAATAACAATGAAAGCTAATTGCAAAGTTTTACTTAAACTCTTTAAGAGCAGTGTGCTTTGACACATACAGGATCCCGTTCGTTCAGATCTGGTCTTAATAAGCATGCATTGTAGGGATGTTTTACAAAAGCCGTAAATCTAGGCAGCCGGGAGGGTTTCCAACTTTCTTTTCTAACTGATTTACGTCTCCTTTGCCCAGACCGCCCGAGGTAAGCATATACAGTTTATTTAAGGGACTGTTTATAGACTCTTAAACTAAAAAGGACCCCAGAACCTCTCTTTCTTCTGGTTGTTCTTAATTGAAACCATTCAAGATGGTTGGTTGCGGGTCAACTTTTTTTTTTTTTTTTAAAGACCTCAAAGGGGAAAAATTCCAGGAGTTCCCGAACAGCATTGTTAAAATGGTTTAATCGCCATAGCTGTCAAAAACTATGCCTCTGACAAACCTAACGTCTCCCATTTCATTTTACCCTTCGGTGTGCTTCAGACAAAACAAAGTTAGAGAGGGGCCGCCTGTGAGTGGGTGCCAGCACTTGGCTGAGGTAACAGAGCTCTTTCCTAGTGAACTTTCGCCTCCACGATGACCCTGCTCTCCTCACAGGACCACAAGAGCCATCAGCCTGATTAACATGCTCTTTCTCTGGCACCTGGGGAAGAATCTGTAAAGAGCGCTCTTCATTGGTCCCTTCATTTTGTGAAACATCTTGGGCAGCTGCATCAGGTTTGGATCAGGTGTTCTACTTACGCTGGGGAGATACTCACACCCTACCATCCAGGAGGCTATGTCTGCCGCTCTCTCATAGAACTTGGGCTTGAAGGGGAGTGAGCACTCATTTGCAAAATTGGATCGATCCACACAAAGCAAGAATTACCAGAAAAGATCCCCCCTCCAAAAACAAACTTACTTAGGACAATTGTAATAGGATTCAAAACTCCTCCTTGTTAAACATTTTGTATTAGCCAATATATAAAGACAGAGGCAAATTTTTTTCAGATGTTTTGATATCAACCCAACATCAGACACTATCTTTCATTATTACTAGAAATACATACTTCCAAATTGAGTTGAAATTGCTTCAATAAAATGGTATGGGCACAATAAAACTTTGAAACTAGAAAGAAAATCCAGTACGTGCTAAGTGGAGGGACAGAAACGTGGAGACTGCTTCCCTTTAAAAGGTGCTTCGAAGGCTGGAGATGCTTGGGGCTGACTTTGCCACACGCAGTAAATCTCAGGGGACGAAAAGGAAACTCATTAAAATTTGTTGACAACAGTTAATGCCTGTAAGAATAATTGGCTCGGGCACAAAACGGGCCATCAGCATAGCTTAGGGATGGCCAAAGTTCAGCTTCTAAGTTCTTGTTGGTATCCACACATTGCATCCAGTGGGAAAAAAGCAAAACAGTTTCGTCAAATAACTGGGAAGGTATGAGGAGAGTGGTATGTCCCAACATGCTTGGCTGTCATAATTCTTGGTGGTTCTTACTATGAGAGTCTCACAGATGCAGTTCTATTAGGTTTACCTGGATTCCACCTTGCCGTTATCAAATACAGTAGTACCAGCAGCTACTGTAACAGTCAGGCATTGAACGTGACACCAGTCTTCAACAATGAGTAGCTACAGCTATTTATTAATTATTTAGAGGACAGAGCCTCATAGAGACATGTCATAAGTGAGATGGAATATTCAAGAAAAGCATTAAGAACTTTCTTAATGCTTCTCCCAAGGTTCTTCTCTCCTGCAGCCTATGGCATACCCACTTTCTTCTAGGTTAGACTCTTGCTTTAAAGGCAAGGTCGGTCTCTCACTCATTGTCAAGTTGTGCCTTGTGCACAGCACAGTCACCCCCCCCCCAGTGTTCTGATGTAAGCTAAAACACCTGAAAAGGACCAGCTTTTCTCAGGTAGAAAGGACTGTGGTGTTGGACAGAAACCTATCAGGAATACCTTTGTGCTTAATGAACAAAGCAGGCAGGGGATTTAGCTTAAATCCTGGAAGCCTATAAGACAGCATGTGACTTAGACAAAAAATACACACTTTTAATGACAGAATTGACAATAGCATGGCTCACAAAGCCATTTCTCGACCCAGAATTCTCTGATGATGTTGTCGGTTGTCTTTTCGTATTTTAGCTTGCCCAAACCGTGGTAAATACACACGATCAGACTCCTCCTTGAAATATCAAGTGGCTCTATGGATTCTTTTCATTTTAAATTATTAAGCCTGACGTAAACACATCTACTGTACCCATCACAGGCATAGAGAAGCCCAGGGGTCACGGTCCTCACTTGGAAGCCCTGGAGGACGTCATGGTGACCTTTACAGTGCAGCCTGGCACTAGGCAGAGGGCACTTATAGGTGTGGAAATTATCAGTGAGCTGGGTGAAAGGAACTTGCACAAGCAGGTCGCCAAGGAAAGACAAAGTCCTTGGGAATCAGCGGTGAGAACCGTTCACACTTTTCAAAGTGAAAACGTGGCTCAGTCACAACAAACTATAGCATGGCCACAGCTCACTGTTCCGTCGTGCGGATGACTCATGTTCACCTCCTATGGAATGATTTTAAAGGCATTTTTTTTAAATGTTTGTTTTTTTTTAAAAATCCCCCACCCGATGAACTTATTCACTTAGCCTGCAACCAAGAACTAGATGAAACTATTTTATCGCTGGAATTTTAAGTGGATTTATTCAAATAAAGGACTGTCTGGAAGCAAAAGTGACCATTTTCCCCTGCAGTTAAAAGCATGTTTGACTCTTTGATGATATTCTTCCACGTGTCTTTTTCAGTTTATTTTGCCAAAACCACGGTAAATACACATTAACAGCCTCCTTAGTACTTCCCTTGCCCACCTCAAGACTGTAGGCATAAACTTTTGTCTCATTCTTGCGCACACATACACACACACACACACACACACACACACACACACCCCATATCACATCCCACAAGCCACCACCATGACCACCTGCTCAAGAGAGAACTGACTTTTGGAAGGAACATGAGAGACTTTTGAATATTAATCTTCACCGGAGCCGTGTGAAGCATGGCAGGTCACCGAGGTAATCTGTCTGCACGTGTGTGATGGGAACCCTGGAGAAGGAGCCATGCCCAGTTTCTGGAAACCCTTTAAACTTCCAAAAGCATGTATAGAGATCACACCTGTCTTTCGGTGCCCCGCTGCCTTGTAACATACTGTGAAATGGATATGTGTGAGGTGGATTGTTTTCAAGTGATCACTGGCCTTGGGATGTGTTAGTTACAGACATTGACTTCCGGGCCTCTTTTCCACCAACTATTGACTTTCTTATTGTCTGAGACCTACGTATAATATACGCCATTGGGTTTTTCAAAGAGTCCTCTCCAGGTGGATATAGCACCCAGGGAAGAGCTATATCAAAGGGAACCAATGATTAAACTATCAAGGTCAATTTGTGTATTGGTATGCTACCCCAGTGTGCAATTAAAGAGGCCTACAAGTTTGCCACCATGTCTTGGCGGAGATCGCCTTTTGTCAACTCATGGTGACTTTGTAGACATCTAGTTTGTTCTCAATTTAATTTGTTTCTCAAGTTTGCATGAATTTGGGGTAGGGGAGCCTTATCGTTTCCCTCTGAATCACGGAACACTCAAAGTAGTCCTGTATGTCCCCCATATGTTTATAGAGGTGCCCAAAGGTCTAAGAATGAAATCTCCACTACTCCAGGGTTGCTCTGTCCTAGCCTTTGTTAGAAGGGATAGGAGAGTGGGGGTACTCCATATAAGTTGGAGAAGGGTTCACGAGGAAGAGGAAGCAGTTAAAGACAAACTTTTACGGAAGAAAATTCCACCCCCAAACCTACCAACGTCCTGCTGAAATGATATGCGTCCTTTAAGGGAAGGGACCTCAGGGGCTGAGGAAGGGGAGGGACCTCAGGGGCTGAGGATGGCTGCCAGCCAGGGGCAGTCATCCTGTTATCCCCCAAGTCCCTGCAGTTGAGAACCCACAAAACCATACACCTGAGAGCTGCAGTAGCCCAGAGAAGAAGGGTGATGGGAGTGGGCGTGGGAGGGGCTACTCACTGAAATAAAAGCCCCTTGGTCCACACACGAACTGAAGAGCGTCCACCAGCTCGGCCCCGCAGAGGGTCTCCGGTCCAGCTGTGGCAGAGCTGGTGAAGGTGAGCAAGCAGAGGGCCAGGTAGAAGAGATGGGAGGACGACATGGTGTGCATCTTTATCTGCCGGAGAGGAAAGAGCAGAGGGTCAGGAAACCTGGTGGGACATGAACACCTTGACTCTCGGGCTCCCCTTGCCACCATTCAACAAGACTATCTGGGCTAGAAGAGCAATGTGGTGTGAAGAGGCTTGGAGGCCCCTGCAAGTCCTGGCCTGAGCCAGTCTTGACATCAGACACCCCACGTTTAGTCCCTTTGATTTTTCTGCAAGCCTCCTGCGGTTTTTATGACTTCCCATTACAAATAAATGGGGTAAAAGACTACAAACATTTGCTGGGTGACAAGAGATGGCAGTTATTTTAGTGAGGGGATTCCCATGCAATTCTGAGAGCCCAATAAAGCATCTTGATTATCAAAAGTTAAATACGCTCAGCTTTGCGGTCGCACTGTTTTAAGTGTTCTAAAGCGTGGACACCTGCAGATGGTACATATACTCATATCTGTTATTGATCAAAAATACTAAATTAACCAGGGCATCATCTTCTGTCCATAGATTAAGAAGATTTTTTTTTTATACTGGCCGGAAAGGAATTGTGAAAATACACATCCTTACAGCTTTTCAGAGACCGAGAGGGGCTGAGAGAGGGAGGAAGCGTGAGGGTGGGGGGAGAGGTGACTTACCTGAGAATGTTAGCGGACAACACAGCCATAAGTGGAAACCAAACAAACAATCCAGAAACGGGGGAAAACATGACATCACCTCTCACACAGCACAGTGACAGAAAGGTCTGATGCCTTTCCTTAAAGCACCACGAAGGTCATATAGTCTGAAACTCTATACCAAAATGCAGGGTGACAAGAGAAAGTCACGGTGTCCTTATTTATTAACTAAAGGGTGAGGTGAGGAAAGAGCCATCAGGAGAAAGGCTCCAAAATGAGGGAAAACCCTCTGATTGCTGCTGCTACGTCCAAGCTTCAGTTCAATGGAGAATGAACTGTGGGTAGAGTTAGGGTCTAATGGCAGCAGCCTTGGGTGGGACCCCCAGCAAGCCTTGCCCCTCCTGATTATCCTCTGCCCCTTTGGGAAACATTCCTAAGTCCTGAGTATAGGCTTCAGGGCCGCTCTGGAACAAGGGGCCAATGATCTGTCATCAGACAAGGCAGCCAGCCGAGTCTGCTTTGGCCAGCTCCTCGACAGAAAGTCCGGGGAGGTTAGAAGCAAATGTCCGTGTTTTATGGCTGCCTTGGGAAGAGGGTCTCTAGTTTCTGTACCCGCCTTGGGGGGAGAGTGACAAGCAGGAAAGGGGAGGATGACAGAAGGTCAGGGAGCTTAGCAATCATTTTTCGGAGCTTTAACAGAAAATAAAGGTAGTTCTTACATTCTAAAGTCCTTCTCCTCCAGCTCACTACCAGAGAGGTCCACACAGACAATGCAGGGCACTGGGCTTAAAAACCTGCAAGAGCCTTTAGGTTGAGCAACGGGAATTCTGACTTAATCTCTGGGAGGCATTCATGTGTCATTCTATCAATTTTATAACAAAATCTATCAAGGGACCTCCGGTTGGCACAAGCTAGTCAATGGTCGAGAGCCAAGCAGCAACCCTGCCAAAGTCAGGGCTCCAGCGACTCAGGTCTCTCTTCCTTCTAAGAAGCAGACAGACAGGAAGACAGACAAGTACTTTTCCACATCGCCACTGTGGAGCCGGCGTGAGTTTCCTTCCAGGGAGGCTCCCAAGGTGAGCAGCTCTGCCTCCTTCAGACACACACACTTCAGTGGCATGGAAGGAGTCCCTGACATGGGATCAGGTGACCTGCTCGGTGTGAGGGGGTCACAGAGGTGCCTGGAAGCTAGGTTTTCTTAAAAAGATGTTTTTTTTTGAACCTCGCAGTTGGGGAAAGTTCCATCAATCCCATCTGGTTTGGAGATTGAGACCCAGGTATTTCGTTTATTGTCACTTTCTCTGTCCTATGTGAGCTCTCAACTTGGTGGTTCTGCATCCCTGGCAAATGTTGCTCAATTATTTTAGACAAATTTCCAATTCTGTGGCTAGGTCTTCTTCAGCCTTGCTTTTGGAGGGGGCAGGGAGCCAAGTCCCTGATTCTCGAGAGCACAAGGTAAATATTCAATAAGTGCTTGGAAAGCAGCTAAAGATGATAGGAGGACTCTGGAGTGACAGAGCCTCATGAGAGAGGACATGTAATTACGGAGGAGGGATGGCCTCAGTTAAGCCCTTGGTAAGACTTCGGCATGGAAGCCCTCCATCTCTACATAACCAAAGACACAGGTTTCCTAGAAATGAGCTAACAAGTACTCATTTCTCTTGGTCATGAAAAGAACGAAGGGAGTTCCCTTTTAGTATTCCTTGTGGAAACCTGAACAGATCCAACGCAACAGGGCTTCTGGGTTTTGTGAAAGGAGCAGCCCTGTAATTCCCATAATTGGCCTTAGGGAACATGCCCCTCCACTCTGGCAGCAGGTCCGCTCTAGAATGAATAACTCTTCAGCAAACCCGGTCATGAAACACCGCCCCCTAGCCCTGCGGAATTATTTTGGATAGTGGTGAAGGCCAGGCACCTGCAATGGTTAGTTTGGACCAATGCCACGGGAGCTATTACTCAGTCTCACAGCCTTTGTGAATTTAGACGGCCACGAGCTGCCACAGACTACATTTTAATAGTTCAAGGGAGAGTACGTTTAAGTCCAGCGAGGCATATACATCTCTAGAATCTAAAAACTGAAAATTGCTTTTTACCAATTTTCCTCTTCCTTTCTGCATGGGATTTGGGAATTATACTAAATAAAACACTGATAAGTATCAGTACTTACAATTCTAGGACCTCTGGTACATTTTCCTTTAGCTCAGAGACCAGTCCAGCACACCCACAGGGAGTCGGAGTTTATCACACCGTGTTCCCCAAACAGAAAACAATATCGAACTTGCTTAGGAGCTAAGAAAAGTTCAAAACAAGTCTCCCCATATGTTCTCCATTTCCTCGGCCCCCTGTTTCATCCACCACAGGGAAAACGACTAGAGAGAAGGTATAGATGCGCTAGGAAGAGGTCAAGGAAGAGCCTGGGAAAGAGAGGGTGAAAAAAACCCAATCCTGAACTCAGAACGCTTTCCTCAAAGAGCATCCACAAATCCACGTTTCCAAAGACCTCTGTGTGTTAACCGAGTGGGAGAGCAATTGATTCCAGTTGTCTGGCCGACCCTGAGAATGCCCGGCAGAAGCGCGAGGGTCGGAGCCGCGAGAAGGTACTCACTGGAGGTGCGGTCATTTGGGTATGTCCCAAGCCGTTTTCACAGCAGGTCAGGGTGGGGTATTATGAGGCCGATGTGAATAGAAAACCCAGGACTTAAAAACATGTGCTGTTTTGTGGGTGGGGTTTGTGAAAGCATCTAGTTACATTTGGACACCCAGGCAGGTATGCTACCAGCCTGGGTAAACTGCCTTTTGTCCATTCAAACAATGAGCAAATTGCACAGCTGGGAGTTAGCTGGGAGTTGAGTCAATGGGGCCGGCGGGGGGGGGGGGGGGCGGCGCCCCCCCCGGCCCGCTCCACAGTGAAGCCACTGATTTCCATTGTATGCTATGTATCTTAGCTACCCAGAATAGTGACCTACGTTCCAGCTCCTTCCCCACCTTCCCCTGACTCAAGTCCTGGGAAATACCTTGAGCCCCAGAGCACAAAGCCAGCCTGTGCCCTCTGGGCACTGCTCAAGGGCGGTTGACCTCAGTTCATTGAATTACATTTCAAAGACCACCACGCAGCAGCTCCCCTCAACCAACTCCTGCTGCAAGGACAGAAAAAAGTTGAAGCCTTGTTGCTAGCTCCACTTCGGAAATGCCTTGCAGACCTAGCATGGAAAGAAAGTTCATTTGGAGACGATTTTCCAAACTTGCAGTGAATGCCGAGGTAACATGCCACAGCCTCTTTGATAAACCTTTTAAAGAGGAAGACACAAGCCCAGCTGCCAGACCACACAGCGTACACGAACGCTGACTTCATAACTGCAAGGTGGCTGAAGCCCGCGGGCATCTCAAGGATGGCAGAGCTAGGTGCTTGACAAGGTTGTCTCCCTAACTCCCAAACCACTTACTTGCCTAAGAAAAAGTCCGCAGCAGCGAAGGAATGCTGCGCTCTGTGGCTGGGATCTTTTATGAATTAAGCCCTCCGGCAACTGCCCCCAAGGAGCCAGTGACAGCGGCTTAAAAGTGCTTGCAAACTGAAAAAAAAAAACAAACAAAACAAAACACAAGTCTGGAAGGATATAATTTTGCTGAGACTGGAAACTTGAACCAGAGCCAGTGATCAGAAAGGAGAAGTCAGTGTGTTGACAGCGGCAGCCGCAGCCAGATTCACCTAAAGACACTTTACTGCGCCCCGTGTAAGAGCAGAGGCTTACAGCCCGAAATCCAAGCCCAAACTCAGTCCACAAAAGTCCCCTTCCAAAGAGAAAAGTTGGACAAGCAGCCGCCAGAACGCTCCCGCTCTCCGAGCACAGCGTGGATCTGTTTAAATTTCCCGAATACGCAGAGACAGCAAGTTCTCTAAGTGCTCCTTTTTCCTCAGGAAAGCAAATTAAACTTCACTTTAACTTTGACTTGCTGGGCATAAGTGCAAAGAATTCCTGATTCTTGGCTCCAAAAAGCATTTTTAAACAGCGTTCCTATCGTCTAAAATGTAACTTTTAATCTGTGACATGCCTCGTAAATAAAGTCCTGACAAATTCCACACACATGCATAGGCACACACACACACGGACACGGTCTTAAAAAGCAAACGCCTGCACCTGTGAGAGAAAAGCACACCCCAAGTTCACATCCAGGCTTTCTAGCCCCGAGCCATAGGCAAGATTTAAAGGAACCTCTTAAAACGGCAGCACGGAAGCCCTGTGGAAGTGGAGGGTTTAGCATAAGTACCTTGCCATAGTTTCTACCCGTACAGATATCTCTGCAATTGCATTCATCTCCCGGAGCTCTTTCCACAGCCCCGCGCAGAACTGCACATTCAGCAATTTGTAAATAACTCCCCGTTTCTGAAACAATGCAAATTCTAAAGCGAATAACAATTCTAGGCAAAAGGAAACAGCGCACAGTTTAGAGACAATTCCCCAATGACTCCAAAGAATAAGAGATATTTACCTTCAAGAAATCACAGAAGCAGCACTTAAGTAACTGAGGAGGAAGACTGGTGACTTTTCCCATCGCTTCTGAAGTGCAAAGTCTGGAAATGAATTGGTGAGCAGGAATAATGAGGCAAAAAGAAATCCAGAGAGACGAGAGATGTTAGAGCAATGTCACATTTCAATTTTGAGGACTTTATTCCATTGCGCAGGCTCTATCTGCTCCGAATTTAGCAGTGACAGTGAGGTTTAGCAAACAGAAGAGGGATTTAGAGAAAATCCTCACATTTATCTACAAAACACAGACGCTGTAGACAGGAAGCAGCTGGGGGAGCATTCGCCTTCTCTCTCTCCCTCTTCTGGCAAAGTTATCGAGTAAGGACTTTTTTGGGCACCGTGACAAAATAACATCATACCTTTGCTTTTCAAAACTGGAGCACAGAAGCATTTTCTTTCTCCCCTTAAAAGAATGTGTGTTACCGACAGGGTTAGCAGACATTAAATACTGATGCTGCCATAGAGAATAGGGTCTGTTCTCAGATTAACTTTCCACAGGGCACGAAGGGACACGTGCCTGCCAATACACCTTACCGGGATCAGAGGATCTAAGTGGGGTAGCGGAGCAATTTTATATTTTAGGGCAAATACCGAATTTGAGAAAGAAGGAAAAAAAAAAAAGGAAGAAAAGATCGTCTCCAGAAAGTCCGATGATGTTAACCCTGAAGTGACCAGGCTGAGCTGGTAGGAAAGCCAGGGCTCCACTGACCCCTCGCCCTACTTGCCAAGCGAGGGGAATGATCTCATTTCCTAAAACCTATAGACAGGCAGGCAGCAGCGGGCTGGCTCTCATTAGGACACTGGATCACGCTTTGTGCAAAGAAAAAGACTATGCTGAGCTCTGAAACCAACTGACAAATAAAAAGATCTTATTTTTCAACAAAGCCAGCTGCCTGTCACCTCCTCAACCCCAAAGAAACAGTATGTCACACAAACACACACACACACACACACACACACACACACTATTGTCCATATTTTTTCGGCATGTGTGTGTGTGTGTGTGTGTGTGTGTGTGTGTGTGTGTGTATGTGTGGTGGCTATGTTTTCTTTCTCCATTTTTTTATGTGTGTGTATTCCAAATAATACCAGCTGGCTAGCGATACCCTCTCCAGAGTTATGATGTCATTCAGATCCCTCCACTGGGTAAAGTGGCTGGCAGCATGGTTCAAGCTGATTGCTTCACTATTTATAATGTATACTCACTTGCCTTTGCCGTAGAGAATCATGTTCTGATCTTTCGTCGATACGGTTTGTACCTATTTCTCAGTGCTTTAGAGAGGCAATAGATAAGGAAGCAAATTACGAAAGAAAGCTACCAAAGCCCCGGTTAGACAGTGTGCTTTCCTTGGATGTCTGTCTAGGTGTGGTTTCCCGGGGGGGATGGAAATGAGCCAAGTCTGACTTCCCTCGCTTTCTTATGACTCTGGGGGGATTTGAAGATATTGGCACATCAGTGGAGACAGAGGTCGGCTGGAAGCTATACACGGCCTCATTCTGCTGCCCATGGCTGGAAATCTGCTTGGAGAGGTGGATGTCCTTAAATGAAACCAGCTTGGTTTTGCAAGGGGTTTGGGCTTGTTCCAACCCTCAGTGTGGTCAATACTTTATAGCAATGTTTACCTTTCAGACACAGACACTGGAAACCCAGAGTTGGATTGGTGCAGTGGTGGGTGATGTTAGTATCATTTGATGAGGGTACCTACTATGTGCACAATTACAGATACCTCTAGAGAAGCAAAAGGGAACACAAAACAGGAAGGCAGAGAGAAATTTCACTGCCATGTGTGGAGCATGTGTGGCTTTAAGATATATGAGCAATGCACAGTGGGAGGGGGCAACACTTTCTCAGGAAGGTGGGAGTGAAAATCTCTTTTGGAGGATGAGGGAGGAGAGAATGTATTGTGAGAGGCATGGGCCTGGAATTGACCCAGAGAACACATGAAACTGCAGCATCACCAGGTGGTTCTGGCATGTCTGCAGCTGTGTGGGCAATCCTGCAGCATCACCAGGTGG